CTGTAAACTGTAAGGTGAAAAAAACCCTTTTCTCTCCAACTTGGTTTTGATCAGTGTTTTATCACAGTAATAGAAAGTAACTAGGGAACTGTGGAACTGCATTTTTGTCTCTTTCCCATGACATTACTTAGGCAGTTCCAGGACTTTGAAGGTTGATCAGACCTTCCTTCCATTCATAGGAACAGGCTCAAAAAAACAAACAAAAAAATACTAATTTGAATCAAAACCAAATTGAACCGAACTCAGGTTCTTACCAGTCTGAATGAGTGAGCAATTCTCTGAACTGGTTCCTGTGCCCTCTGGGGCAGGCTGGGCATTGTGCTTCTGGAAGTCCACGCCCCCAGCACATGGGGAAGGTGAGTCTCAAGTAATTCCTTGGTGCTCCAGGGAAATTGGCACTCTAGCCACAAAGGAGGTGCAATTCACAGTTGGATCCCGGATAAGCACCTAGAAAATATAGTGGGCGCTCTAAACAGAAAATGGAATCCCAAGGATTTTATGCAGGAAGCAGTTTAAAGCAGAACTCTGAGCAAAGAAAAACAGCCCTTTATATCCTTTCACTTTCTTGTCTCCTATAGATAACAGTATACATTATGATTGGTATTTTAAAATACTGTAAGACAATACAAAATGGGTGGAATGTAAGGGGAAGGGGGAGACAGTGAGGGCTTAAACAGGAGACATGTAGAAATGTACAGACATACAGACACCATCCACTCATCACAGTGTCACAAAGACACAACATTGTCCTCCCAACATTACACAGACTCTACCTTTTCAGCCAAAATCTTGTGTAATGCTAACTTATTCCTCCAGGCCATTTTGCTAGTGAGACTAAGTTGTTCAGCTATTCCTTTGGCAGCATTCCAGATATAATTTGTTGATTGTAATAGATTGATGTGATAGGTATAGTTGATTCATTATAATAGATAGTTGATCCAGTCTATACTTTTATTAATAGTCTGCCAGCAAAACAAGACTGACTTAAAAGCAGCTGTTATTTGATTTCCAGCTTTGAATTCATTTGAGGATCACCCTGGTGCATCCCTTTGGCATCTATGTAAATATGGGGATCAAATGAACCTTCTGCAGTTAAGTGCTCCTGTTTCTCTCAAGAAGGGCCTTGAGACAGCTGAATTTGTCTAAATGTCATAATGAAAGGGATAGCCAATTGGACTAACATAAGTCCCACTCCAATTCACAAGTAAGATTTCAAACAGGGATCTGCCACAACATCACCAGATGTCTGCTTATGTGACCACCAAGGTCATCCCTCCAAAGACCAGCCTTCACTGAATCCAGTTACATTGCCCACTGGAGTTAATTGCTTCTCCCACTTGGAGAGGCAAAAGGTGAAACTACTCCCAGGAGATGGGAGCTCTGTGGTCCCCAGAGGTGGTCAATGCCTCATGTCTTTAATTGGGGGAAACAGTAGTGGCAAGGTATGGTAGGACTGACTGCCTCAGGCCTGTTGGTCTTGAAAGAGGGAAATTGTGCAATGATGCTGTTCCAGTTGGAAGACAGCGCCTAGGGAAGGGAATTATTTGAGTCTGTGGTAGGCCTGTCACACAGGCATAACAATCACTTTTGTTTTTTTATTTAAATATTTTATTTTTTATTTTTTATGTGTACGCATGTATTGCCTGCATGTAGGTAAGTGCACCGGAGTCATGCAAGGCCCAAGGAGGTCAGAAGAGGCTGTCAGATCCCCTGGGATTGTAGTTACAGACAGTTGTTAGCTGCCATGTGAGTGCTGGGATTCGAACCTGGGTCTTCTGCAAGAACAACCAGTGTTCTTAACTGCTGAGCCATCTCTCCAGCCCCAACAATCACTTTTGTTTAATGTGCAAACAGAATATTTAATTCATTCCAACCAGGCACTGACTTCTTCGTATCCCATCTCAACAGAGGTCTGTCTCAAATCTTTCATTTCTATAATCGTTTCCTTACCAGGATCATTCTTTGGAGGAAATGCTGGGTCAAAAAAGAGAAAAGAGAGATGGGGGATGAAAGCAGGAATGGTATCATTAGCAAACTGGATCTATGCCTAGGCTTAGCCCCGTGTTCTAATTCTAATCTAAAGATACCCAAAGAGTTGGTACTTAGTATGTCTGCTCCTAAACCACAGGTTCTAAAGATTGATGGTTTTTCCTTCACAGTCTTTAGGATCATCAATATTTAAAGACAGGATTTCAGTTCAGTGGCTGGCAACTGGGAGGTAGGGTGCCTTGAATAAGTTAGAACTTATTCTTTTCTATAATTTTTTATTTGAAAAAATATCTTTTTATTTTTATGTGATGAGTATTTTGCCGATGTGTCTGTAAGCACACCACATGCATACAATGTGGAAGCTAGAAGTGAGTGTCAGATCCCCTAGAACTTCAGTTATGAACAGTTACTAGCCATCATGTGGATGCTTGGAACTGAACCCAGGTCCTCTGCAAGCGCAGTCAGTGCTCTTAATCGTTGAGCCATCTCTCTAGCCCCGACACTCTGATTTTTCATTAAAATGCATGAGAGGAATTATCTTATCTTCCTTTCTCCATTCTGGGCATTCCCTCTTAAAGTGTTCTATGGTTCACCATTCTGAAACATTTGTTTCCTCTGCTTCCTCTTGTTATTTCTCACTCCCTTGCCATCTGGGGTGGACCCCTTGGGATATTCAGGATTGCTGGGACCCAGAGCCTTGTCCCCGTCCTTGAGGCATTTACCCCTAGGTAGAGAGCATGATTTTAGCTTTTTTTCCCTCCCTGGAATCCTCATCCCCTAGTGCACTTCTTGTGAACCTGGTTGCAGACATAAGGTCTTTGTAAATCCTGCCTGATTTTCTGAATTCTTCAGAAAAATGCAGTCTCTCCTTTTCTTCCTCATATCTCTTTCATAAAAAAAGCGTGCCTTTCCTCAATGCCCCAGCATCTTGTATTTTCTTTACTTTTTCTGTAAAGTTTCTTTCTCCCTGCCATGTGGTGACTAGTCCACTTGTCTGGGCCCCATGCAGGCTCCAAACCTGCATATTTCATGGCTTTTGTTTCCTTCTCCCCCCTCCATTCTCCTCCTCAAGGCAACTGCCAAGATTGCCAGCTTGCCTGCCCTGAGGATTTTTCTTTAAATTCTAATAAAATTGTTCTAAAGCTTCTGTTTGCATCCATTCTTAAATTCTCTTATGAATGAGACTAAGGCTGTTTTTCCTCTGTATCACTTTTTACATTGATTACATTGTCTCTTAGAGTTTAGTGGCAGGTGGATATGCTCATTTGAACTAGAAATGTCTTACATAAGCTCAAGTATTTGAACACTGTTGCCAGTTGGTGGTGTTGTTTCAGGAGGTCCTGGAGTCTTTAGGAGGTGGAGCCTTGCTCAAGGAAGTACATCACTGGGCATGGACTTTGAGAATTCATGGCCTTACCTCACTTCCAGTTGGCTTTCTCTGCTTTGTGTTTGTGGTTGAAGATGTGAGTAGTTATCAGCTGCCAATAATTCTTTGACTAAGATTGGGGCATCCTGCCCATTTCCACAGTTCTATGCTGGGTTTTTGTCTGCTTGAGTTTGCATGGGTCTTGTGCATGTTGACACCATTGTTGTAGGTTCATATGAGAAGGGTTCCAGGAGCCTGTAGCACTATTTCCTTATGGTCATGCACCTGGCTCTTATAATCTTTCCACCCATCTTCCACAATGGTCCCTGAGCCCTGAGTGAGTGGATTTTAATGTAGGAGTCCTATCCAAGGACCCACACTCTGTAGACTCTTATTCTCTACATTTTGGCCATTTGTGACCTTTTGTGTTCCTGGCCCTGTGTTGCCTGAAGGAGCTTCATTGATGAGAATTGAAAGATTCATTAGTGTTCTCTTCATCCCTTGTTCTATGTTCTGTGAGCCTTAGGTATAGAGGTTGTATTGTAGTTGTGCCACTTAGGCCTGGGAAATTCACAATCTCTGTGTATGACCACTTGTGGAACTCTGTAATAATCTCTGTCTGTGGAAAAAGAAGTTTCTTTGATGGGTGGTGACTGGGATACTTGTCTGTAGATTTTAGGATCCACATTTTGCACATAGTAGAAAATTACATTTGTCTAGGGATGTGACAGCTTTGGGGTAGTCTGTAAGAGCTATGACCTCCCCAGCTATGTGTATTTGGCTAGGTTTACAGTATCACACATGAGTTTCCTCCCACTGAGTGGGCTTTAAGTCCAATTAGGTAGCTGTTGATTACCCCCAAGATAAAAGTGCCACTACTATACCAATGTTGTTTGCTGTGCTGGTCATTGGTGTACTTATTAGGCCTTGAAGCTGGAGTTGGACCATGGATTGATGTTCTCCCTTATCAGCTTGCATAGTGTTCTCCAAAGCTATGAGAGCTAGCCTTCAGGGGAGGTGACTTCCAGGTCTATTCGAGCTCCATTGTTCCAAATTCTGAGTCCAAAGTATGTCCTTTCTTCAGCAATAGGATCTTACTTTCAAGTTCTGGGAGGTCATCAAGGGCTGTGGCAATAGCCTGTGTAATTTGTGGAGTCTCTTGGACCACCCTGGCTAACAACCCAAAGGAAGGTTTCTCCCGTCTGGCACTGCTTCTTGTTATATAGCCTTCAGCTCTACACATATGAACTCATGTAGAGATAGTGTATGTATAACTTTTCAGTAGGTTTTTGGACTAATTTGATTCCCTCTGGTTTTTTATGCTAGCTAGGCATTATTTATCTCTCCTCTCTCTCTCTCCCTCTCTAATCCTCCCTCCCCACCTCCCTATTTAAAGTGTTCCCACTTTCCCCATTTCTCCCTTGATAATTCCTGTCTGCTACGGTCCTACCTCTCCTGAGCTACTTCTTCCCATTTATCCCCATAGTTCCTTGTATAACTACCCATTTAACTATGCCCATTTTACACATTTCTCCCTTAGTAACACCTGTATTCTTGTAACTGACCAATTAATTCACTTGTTGGGCATCATTCTCTGTTTGGTGCTTCTTAGAAATAGGCAGGTTAGTACAAAACCCCAAAGGGCATACTTACTTGGTAGGGGAGATACCAAGATCATGAATATGGTTTGCCCAGGGTGAGGCTTATTCACTGCATTATGGATGTGCTGACCCCAGCAATTTCCCCAAATATGAGAAACCCTTGACTGCATGATTTGTGGTGGTGGTGGGGGTACTATGTTCACTCTCTCCCATTTAAAATAAATAAATAGCTCTGTCCTGGTTTGTTTCTTCGTTGCTGTGACAAAATACTCTGACCAATACCAGCTTGAGGAGGAAAGGATTTATTTGTCTTACATCTCCCAGGTCACAGTTCATCAGGGAGCCCAAGGTAGGAACTCAGGGCAGGAACCTGGAGGCAGGAGCTGGAGCACAGGCCATGGAGGAACGCTGCTTTCTGGCTTGCTCTCCTGGCCCCTGCTCAACCTGCTTTCTTATGCAACATAGGCCCACCTGCCCAGGGTGGCACCACCCACAGTGGGCTGGACCCTCCCACATCACTCATCAAGAAGATACCCCTCAGACATGGCCACAGGCCAGTCCAATAGAGGCAATTCCCCGATTGAGGCTCCCTCAACCCAGGTGTGTAAGTTGACACTAAAGCTTTCCAGCACAAGCCCTGACTGGTAAAGGGCTGCCAGAAAGCCATATGGCATCACTAAGAAAACCTTGAGAACTGCTGCACACTTGCTTCATGGTAGAGACATGTCTCACTCATGCTCATTTAACTACCAGGAAGACCCAATCTCCAAGGAGTACTGTGCTATCCCCACAGCATTTCCTACCTTGACCTCTGCAAGGGGCCACTTGGGCCACTCCATGTGTTGCCAAGAAACCTTCACAGTCCTGGGTCTCCTCACCATTCCACAGAATCATTAAAAATGGGGAACCCAGGGACCATTGCAAAAATGCTGTGGATGTGTCTCCCTGAGCAGGGATTCTGGGTGCTCCCTTGGTTGTGATAAAATCCTGGGATGAGCCCCTAAGTTGTTAAAGATAAAATCTGGGTTGCAAATCAAGAACTATTTACTTCTGCTCTGAAAGGCTGTGATGATTTGAATGAGAATGCCTCCCCCATAGGCTCCAAGTATTCGGACATTTTGTCCCCTGTTGGTGGCGCTGTTTTGGGAGGTCTTAAAGGTGTGGCTGTGCTGGAGGAAGCATGTCACTGGGGGCAGGCTTAGAGAGTTATTATTATTATTTTTTTTTGGTCTTTTTGAGAGGGTCTCCCAGTAGCCCCAGCTAGCATGGAACTCACTATGTAGACCAGACCCGCCTCTGCCTCCTGAGTGCTGGGATTAAAGGCATGCGCCATCAAGCCCAGCAGGCTTAGAGAGTTCTTAAGCCTTACCAGATCTTGAGTTGCTCTCTTGCTTCCTGTGCCTGATTGAAGATGTAGAGCCTAGCTTCCACTCCTCCTCCAGTCCACCTCTGCGGCCATACCTCACCTCCATGATGGACTCCTGTCCTTTTTGAACCGTAAACTCAAATAAACTCTTCCTTCTATAAATTGCTTTGGTCAGTATTTCTTTCATAGCAACAGAAAAGTAACTAATATAGGTGCATAGCTACCAAAACCTGGACAGCAAGCACACTGCACAGAAAAATGGATACTCTTAACACGAGTACATATCTTTTCCCCATTGACTGGGGTCTGACCTGACAGTTTTTCAAGGTTTGTTCATTTTAAATGAATCAGGTACAAAGGAAATGAAAGAAAGGGGGAAGGGTCGAACAGCTATGGACCATCAATTTCTGGGAATGTAGCAGGGCCTTTGCATAAACAAAAGTTTTATATGGCAGGGGAGATTACAAAAGAGCATTATAGAGGCTGGAGAAATACTGCAACAGGCAAGAGCACTTGCTGCTCTTATAGGAGACCTGGGTTACAGACAATTGTGAACTGCCATGTGGATGTCTATAACTCTAGTTCCAGGGAATCCAACACCCTCCCCTGGCCTCCATGGGCACCAGGCACGCCTGTGATACACATATATACATGCAAGTAAAACACTCATACATGATATAAAATAAATAAATCCTTAAAAAAAAAACAAAATAAAAATACTATTACAAAAGTTACATCTCTGTGATCATTCTTTTGTTAGAACAGATTTGAATTCCTTGTTATTTTACTCAATACTAGGCAAGTACTTTACCACTGAGCTATATTCCCAAACCCTAGGCTTCTTTTTTAAAATATTTTATTGATTATTTTTATTTTATGTGTATGTGTGTATTGCCTTCATGTAGGTAAGTGCACCCGTGTAGTGCAATGCCTGTGGAGGACAGCAGAGACTGTTAGATCCCCTGGAACTGGAGTTACAGACAGTTGTTAGCTGGGATTCAAACCTGGGTCTTCTGCAAGAAAAACCAGTGTTCTTAACCGCTGAACCATCTCTCCAGCCCCCCCCATTTTAAAAGATTTGTTTATTTATTTATTTACTTATTAATTTTTATTTGAGACAGGGTCTCCCTGTCACCCCAGCTGGCCTAGAACTAACTCACTATGTAGATCAGGCTGGCCTCTTATCTCACAAGATTCACTTGCTTCTGCCTCCCAAATGGTGGGATTAAAGGCATGTGTCCCTGTGCCTGACTTATTTATTTTAAATTATGTGTATATATGTGTCTGTGTGTGGGTAGGTGCCCAGGGAGGCCAGAGGCATCAGATCCCCCTGAAACTGGAGTTACAGGCAGTTGTAAGATGCCCAATGAGAGTGCTGGGAATTGACCTTGGGTCTTTTGGGAGAACAGGAAGCACTTCTAACCACTAAGCACTCTCTCTAGTCTCTAGATTTCTTGATATCTAGAAAAGAGAGAAAAGATCCTTAATTTGGCTGGGTCACAGTGCTGGAAGTTTTTTTTTTTTTCAGCTATGATCTCAAATGTAACCAGGGCTAACGTAGAACCTCCATTGCCTTCCAACTGACCACCATGCCCAACTTCCTTTTCCTTTTTTTTTTTTTTCCAGACATGGTTTCACTTGGCAGTCCAAGCTGGCCTCAAACTCATTATGTAGCCAAAGTTAACCTTGAACTCAAAGCAATCCTCCTCCTTTGGCCTTCTAGTTTTGAGAAAGTGGGGTGCTCCATTACTCTGGGTTAGATGCATTCCACTATTAAAATAGGTCAGGAGCTAGAGAGATGGCTCAGTGGATAGACACTTGCCACAACCTGGGTGTGATGGCACATGCCTTTAATCCCAGTGCTTGGGAGGCAGAGGCAGGTGGATCTTTCTGAGTTTGAAGCCAGTCTGGTCTACATAGTGAGTTTCAGGCCAGCTGGGGCTACAGGGAGACCCTATGTCAAAAAGACCAAAAAAAAATAGAAGATACTTGTCACCAAGTTTGACAACCTCAGTTCCATCCCTCAGACCCACATGGCAGAAGGAGAGAATTACTTTCTGCAAGTTGTCCTCTGATGTTCATAATTGTGCCTCTACACACACATACAAACACACACACACACATGCACAAATAAATAATGTAATAAAAACCATGTAAAATAGGTCAGGAAACTTGTTCTGAATTGGTAGAGAAGGGGCTGGTGATGATAGGAACCCCAGAGAGGTTGAAAGAGAAGCCAAACTAAATGAATTTGTAGATTACTTCATTATTGTTGTTGCTTTTCTAACTAGGTAAAAGTGTCACACAAGGATACTAAGGTTTTAAAACAAGATTAACTATTATTAACAAATTGTTTTCTGAGGAATTTGAATTCCTGCCATACATGTTATAGGACAGAGTTCGTAAAAAATCACCAACACCACTTTAAGAAAGGTAGCAAGGTAAATTTTAATTTTCGGCCGGCTGGGCTATCTCGGGAGTAGAAGCAGCCCTGATGATTGTTAAGTCAGAGTTTTTATAGGATTACAGAATTATTATTAAAACAGGACATTTGTGAACCAATCAAGTTTGTACAACATAGCAGAGTTTTGATTCTATTAATTAACAACCAATCATTGTACAGACAAGTGATACAGTCATATAACTTGGCACTCAACTTTGTGACATTAAAAACTAGCCAACTGCTTTAGCCATAACAAGTAAAATAAGACAGTCAAGGTAAATAACTTTTAGGTGGTCATACAATAACAGGATAACAAGGGTGGTCTTGTGCCCTGTGTCAGGGCGACCCAAGACAGCAAGCAGGTTACAGAAGCGAAAATAAGCTGGTTAGTAAAAATATAATATCTGGAATTAGCACATTCCATGATTCATGGTGAGGGCAATTTTCCAAGGCCCAAGGTTGCCCCCCTTTTCCTTTCGGTGTGGAGCAAAGTTGCTGCTGAAATGGCTCTGAACAAAATGGAGTAACTTAGGGAAGTTTGCTGAGCCAGTTCAATACAGAGTATCACAGATCTGTCACACAGCTCTCAGGCACACCATGCTTGAATGGAACATATAGCACCAAGGTTACTTTCTTCTTCCCAGTTTCTCCATATGCTTCCAAAGCAACAGCAGCATCTATGGATGTTGAGCACACCTCCCCCACTCAGTCTGCTTCTTTCATAAGCTCATTTCTACTCTCCATGAAGTTCTTTAAGTACCTCTCCCTTCCTCTATTTTCTCCCTTCTGCCAAGCTCTTAAGCATTCAACCCCTACCATGTCAAATGCATACTGGTTTTACTCCTCTATCACTGCACTTATCACGAGATCAAATGTTCCCTCCCCTTCATCCTCCCCACACCTAATAATGGTGCTGTGGTAAAATGCTGAGAGAACAAAACAGAAGTAGAAGAAACAGAAGCTGGAGAGAGGGGAGGGGCAAGAATAACCACCAGCCAGATTCTACGATTTCATAATCTCCACTCCCTACTCTCAGCCAATGGATCAAAAATATCCCTGATGACAAAATTCTAAAATGACTATGGAGGAGCCTGCAGATGCCTTCAGTTCTCTAGATACTGAACTATGTTCCAGTTACCTGAGGCCTGGAAATCCCTGTATCTTGGGTGTTCCTTTTGTTCATTGTTTCCAGTGAGGTTTCCATTTTCCTTCTTTCTTTTTTAAATATTTTATTATTTTTATTTTATTTTATGTGTATGAGTGTATTCCCTGCATGTATGTAAGTGCACCCATGTAGGGCAGAACTTGAGGAGGTCAGAGAGGATGTTGGATCCCCTGGAACTGGAGTTACAGATGGTTGTAAGCCACCATGTGGGTGCTGGGAACTGAACCTGGGTCCGCCAGAAGAGCAGCCAGTGTACTCTTAACCACTGAGTCATATCTCCAGTTCTCCCCTACCCACACTTTTTTTTTTTTTAATGGAAACAGGGTATCAGGTAGCCCAGGCTGATCATTAAAACCCAACTTCCACCTCTTACTCTAGAGTGTCAGAATTACAGCTATGTGTCAATGCACACCCAAATCCATTTTTCTCACTTTCATCCAAAAATACACTTGGTAGCTGAAACTAGCATTTATTTGGTGTTAAAGTGGATAGAATCCCAGCCTTTAATGATACAAGGTTATCTTGCAGACATCTTTTTAAATGGTGGACTTACTATCAAAGATGTCTTTCATGAAAGTCCCTCGACTAGTAAGCATTATATGGTCCTTTACAGTAAATACTTTTGTTTTAATGGCACTGAACCAAGAAACAAGGTAGAACAGGTGTGCCTCTTTGGCAGCCTGCCCAAAGCGCTCACTACCTCTCACAAGAGACTCAGGGACCCTCCCTCCCCAGTTTGGAACCCAACACAAGGTTTCCCAGCATATTTGGCTTCCTCTCCTGATTCTTCTATTAACAGGTGTTTTAAACAATGGAAGGGGGATATGCCTAGGGGTTTGATGCTAATGGAAGGAAACACATCTGTTTTTCTACTCATGGCTTGTGCTGGGAGTTTGAGTTGGCTTGGAACCCAGCTGGATTACAGACAACCTTTCAGGCTCTGACAAGCAGGTGTGTGGCAAAGGACTTGGCAAAAAGGACTAGTTTGGGAGTGGTGACGTTCCAGAGCACCGAGGCTGCACAGTGGGTACCAGATTGCTCCACAGTAGCACCGAGAGGCCAAGAGGTTCACAACTACAGATCCTACTCTAGAGGTACAGCATTTAGATATGACTCTCATCCTCTCATAAGATTTCTGCCATAAGATAGCTGGAGAATAGCACTTGTCACCACTTGGCTCGTTCTCTGGCTCTATGTCAATCTCTGTCTCTGTCTCTCTCGTTTCCGTTTTTGAGACAAGGTCTCATTGTAAGCCTAGACAAGCCATCTTTTTTCTTTCCTTTTTTTCCCTGTGCAGACCTCACATACTCAGTTATATCCCCAACTCCCAGCCTCTTAGAACTTACAAGACGTTGTGGCCCTTGAAATCTAGTTGAGAACTACACTTCCCGGGAAGCTTTGCGGTGACTGACAGCCAAAGTATCCAATAGACCTGGAAATCTTCTAGCCGTGATAACTAAGGAGCCAATAGAAAGAGGCCAGGGGAGGCGTTTTCCGGCTGCTGGCTATCACACCTGTGTCCCCCAGCAGGATCAAGAATCCCAGGAGCTTTCAGACTCAGCGGCTTGGCGCTGAAGGACTGCACTGCCTGCTGCCTGCTCCATCCTCAGCCAGGCCTTTGGGGGCGGTGAGTGACCCGGGGAGGCGGCTGCCGGCTTGCGGCTGAGGGGCGTGGAGCCGGCTCGCCCGCTCCCCAGCGAGGTGTCTGCGGGTAGCCGTCGCACTGGGTGCCCCCGTGTCTCGAGGAGATGCGGTTTCTGCAAGTGTCGGGATAGTTCATCCTCTTACTCCGTTTTCTGGTTCCTCGGTGCTGCACCCCCCCCCCCACGCCAGCTTTGGCTGGTCTTTGTGACCTTCTGACCGCTGCACTCTATTAAGGCCTGGAGCGCGGTGGGGAAGGACCAGTGTCGCCCCACCGGTGCGGTCATGCTCCTATTAATAAATCCAGTACACAGACGCGTGCTTCTCACAATGGCACTTAGTCACAGCACCTTGGCGCCATAGGGCCTTTAGGGTCACTTGTACAGAGCGAAGGAGTTTCTATAAACATGGCTGATAATGCTGGTAATTCTCTTCCCCTCAATTGCACTATCTCCTGCAAGTGGCTTCTGTTTTGAAATGAAGATAGAAAAATTTACCTTCTTGATGATGGTTTTTATTAAGGTTTATTCTGGTTTGGGTCCCGGTCACCGTTCCCCGTTCCCCGTACCCCGCCCCGCCCCTTCCTAGGGGAAGGGGGATACAGGGTCTCACGTTTCTCAGCTGTGTAGCTGAGGATGACCTTGAACGTCTGATCCTCCTGCCTCCACCTCCCAGTGTTGGGATTGCAGGCATCCACCACCACACACCACCACGGACTTGTATGTAGGGATCTAACCTAGAGCTTCACGCATGCTAGGCAAGCACTTTACCAACTGAGTTAATTCCCCAGCCCCTGTTTGTAGAGGTTTTAATCCAGAGAGACGAAATGTGTTTCTATGGCTTGATTTGAGTTTTTTTGTGATTTTTGTTTTTAAGTCAGTACTTTATAAATGATCAATAGCTATGTCAGTAAATACATAAAATGTTTATGTGTATTGAAGTAGTAAACGAGCTTTGATTGATGGCACAAAAGATGGGAAAGACTAAAAACCTGTTCATCCCAATTTGCTTCTTCTTCCACTGCAATGGATTCTCTTTTTTTTAGCAGATGATTTAGTCAGCTGGCTAACTTCATTTGTTTCTACTGGAACCTTTTATTTATGTAGTCCATCATGGATACCATTTTCCCCTCAGAAAAACTAATGTATCCAAAAGATAAATCCATAGATGTGTGTAGGAGGCCTAGGCCTCTCTTAGTGAAGGGCATATTGGCCAAGAGCAGGATTGTGTGAAAATAGAATTAAAAAAAGCAACCCTTCTGTGGTTGACATAATTTACTTCAGGTCTATTCTAGACAGGGGAAGTTTTGTTTGGGGTCCTGATAGATGTCTTTTTGTCGTCAAACAATAAAAAGAATACTTAGGGATCTATTGATGTACATTGAGGTCTCTTGCTTTAGGAAGTGATGCCTCTCAGTGATGTGGCTGGGGACTTCAAGGAAGAGTGGGTTACCTGGACACTATTTAGAGAATCCTCTCCAAAGATGTTCTTCAGCACAGTTGGAAGAATGGACTCTCAAAGGGTAAGGATGCTTGTCTCCTTTAGATTTAACACTGAAGTATTGTGAAGGGACCCATGTCTGAATGGTCTTTAAGGACATTAGTTGGGTTTTTTTTGTTGTTGTTTTGTTTCGTTTTGGTCTTTTTGAGAAAGAATCTCCCTGTAACCCACTATATAGACAGGCTGGCCTTGAACTCACAGACTTCTGTCTGCCTTTGCCTCCCAAGTGCTGGACATTAGTTTCTTAGAGCTTGCCTTTCTGAGAGAGGAAGAATGGCTCCCCACAGGTGTCTTTGGTATTTATGATCTTCCTATCTCACCACAATCCTTTGATATAACATACTGTTATGCCTTCTTTCCAGCTATGAACAAACTCAGAAGTGGCAGTGGTGGAAGACCAGCCCTTGTCTTTGTGGAAAAGAGAGGGCTGTCCCCATTGTGTTGTTACCTATCTCTTTAAAACAGACCTGGGCATAGTGATTTACACCTGTAATCCTAGTACTCAAGAGGTGGTGGCATGGGGATCAGGAGTTCAAGGCTATCCTTGGCCAGTATCTTGAGCTACCTGAGTCACTGTCTCAAAAATAAAAAACAACGGCAAACAAAAACCAGAAGAAGATGTAGTGGCCCATGTCTACAATGCCAGAGGCATGCAATAGATGAGAGGATTACCTCAAGTTTGAGGCCACCTTGGCTACATATTAAGTTCCAGGGTGGCCTGGCCTATAGGGTAAGACCCTGTGACAAAAAAAACAAAAACAAAAATGAAATAAGGGGCTAAGGATATAGTTTAGTTGGCGGAGTGCTTGTCTAGCATCCAGAAAGCCCTGATCCAGTCACCAGTACTGCCTAAATTCAGGTATAGGGGCACATGCCTGCAATCCTAGGACTCTAGAGGTGAAAGCAGGTGGATAAGATGTTCAAGATCATCCTCAGTTATGATAGTTCACAATCAACCTGGGCCAAATGAACCTGTCTCAGCAAACAAAGCAAAACAAAGCAGCCACTTCCAGCATTCTTTCTAAAATACCACACATACACTCTGGAGGCCGAGGCAGGCAGATCAAAAGTTTTGCGGCTACCTTAGCCTACATAGGGAGACTCTGTCCCACAAATGAAACATAAACACACACACACACACACACACACACACACATACTATGGGGATTATATTATACATTCAGTTGTACAACCTACTTTGTTTGAGACAGGGTCTCCCTGTAGCCCCAGCTGGCCTGGAACTTACTATGTAGACCAGGCTAGAACTGAACTTACAGTGATCTGTCTGCTTCTGCCTCCCAAGTGCTGGGATTAAAGGCATGCACCACCTTGCCAGACTGTACAACCTACGTTCTTATACATTGTATCATGAATATATTTCAACAGTGACACTTTCTATTCATTACTTAAAATAACCAACAGTATTTTGTTAGACTAGAATATTGTTTTGTTGTTTAAAATAGAATGTTTGATTGAACTATTTATTTGACTATCTATCATCTATCTATCATTTATCTATCATCTATCTATCTATCTATCTATCTATCTATCTATCTATCTATCTATCTATCTATCTCTCTGTCTTCTGTCTGATAAAGGATCTCATGTAGCCTAGACTGGCTACTTGATATGTAGTCAAGGATGGCTTTGAACTCTTGATCTTACTTCTTCTACCTTCCAAGTGGGTCTATAGCCCACACCATGTCAAGTTGTTTTTTTATGAGAAGAAAAGGGCTGCTCACCCCTAGGCACCTGAAGTAATCACCCTGGTTTAGTATTTTACCATGGTTGTACCTTTAATGAGCCCAAACACCCCATAGCCATCCCTCTGTATTTTTTTTCTACCTAGTGAAAGAGAAGGCCTTAGGTTTTGGTCAGACCTGTGTGATTAGCTCAGATTTACATCTTGCGTTTCCCTTCCTATGTTGGACTTCTAGACCAAATGTAATCTCCCAGCTGAAAGAGAGAAAAGTGCCATGGGTTGTACCACTGGAAAACTTTGAGACCAGGATGCTCATAAGGGAAAGTTCGACAGGTGAGTTGTGAGTGCTGCAGTGCAAAGAAACTATAGCCTCAGTCCTTGCCTTTTTTTTTTTTTTTTTTTTTTTTTTTTTTTTTAGAGAAGGAGTTTCACTATGTAGCCTTGGCTGGCCTGAAACTTACTATATAGACCAGGCTGGCCTCAAACTCACTGAGATCTGCCTACCTCTTCCTCCTGAGAACCAGAACTAAAGGCCTGTAGTCCCTCAGCTTAGCCCTCATTTAGATGAAGAATTTGGAATTCTGACAGATTTTTTTTTTTTTAATAAGAAAGAAAACATGCAAAAGGTGTGACAGGCACAAGTTATGTATTTTAGACTTGGGCTCTAGACTTTTGTTCTTTAAAAGAATTTTTTAACATTGCATTTATATTAGTGGGCAGGATACATGGAGTTGGTTCTTTCCTTCCACTATGTGGATTCTGGGGATTGAACTCAGGTCTTCAGGTCAGATGGCAAGTGCCCTTACCTGCTGCACTCACATACATGCAGGCAATACACTCATACACATAAATTAAAAATAACAAATATTTTAAAAAATATTTTATTTTTAATTTATGTGTATTTAAAAAATATTTTATTTTTTTACTTTTATGTGTATGAGTGTTTTGCCTGCATTCATGTAAGTGTGCCCATGTCCTGCATTGCTCATAGAGGCCAGAAGAGGGCATCAGATCCCCCAGAACTGGAGTTATAGATGGTTATTAGCCACCATGTGGATGCTGGGACCCTAACCTGGGTTCTCTGCAAAATCAGCTGGTGCTCTTAACTGCTGAGCCATCTCTCCAGCCCCTCTGTTCTTTTTAATTTTAGTATTTTATTTATGTATATGAGTGTTTTGCCTGCATGATGTTAAGTGCATACAGTGTCCATGGAAACCAGAAGAGGGCATCAGATGCTCTGGAACTAGAATTACAGATGGTTGTGAACCATCATGTGGGTGCTGGGAACCAAACCCAGGTCCTCTGCAAGAGCAACCAGTGCTTTTTACCACTGAGCCATCTCTCCAGTGCCTAGACTTTTATGCTTATAGAAGTTTACATTTCACTTCTTGAACAGTCAGTCAGGAACTACCTGAATAAAGTCTTGATTTTGAGTAAGCATTTCTTTTCTGTTTAGACTAACATTTTTTTAAAGGAGTTTCCTAATTTTGATGATATGGATAACATACATTGCAGAACTAGGAATCAAACCTAGGGCCTTACCCTTGGTAGGAAAGTCCTTTATCACTGAGCCACACCCCCCAGTTCTCAACAAACTTTTCAAAAAATGAAAGGCAAACTGAGTGTGGTGGTTCACACCTTTAATCCCAGCACTTGGGAGGCTGAGGCAGGCAGATCTTTGTGAGATTAAGGCTAGCCTGGTCTTCATAAGGAGTTCTAGGCCAGCCAGGGCTACAGGGAGACCCAATCTCAAAAAAAAAGGTGAAAATCAGAATGGTCAAATTAAGTATCATCTTACCAAAAACAGAAGTTTGAGTCATTCTTGCTGTTTAATGGTGTTCTTTTCTGATCATTTTGTGTGTTACTTTTTCAGACTTTGCACATCAGGTGGCAAAACTCAGCCAGGACATTTCTGAGACAGCAGAACAATATGAAACATCTTCAAAAAGGACCAATCAAAATGTTTCTTATACTTCTAATTGGGGGGAAAACTGGAAGAGGGCCTTTGAGTTAGAAGGGCAACATGGAACTTTTGTAGGAGATGGGGAGCAGAAGCACTTTGCACAGGAAAGAGATTTAAATAAGCTCCTACATGGATATGTAGGAAAGAAGCCTGTGTGTGCCGAATGTGGGAAAAGCTTTAACCAGAGTTCTTATCTCAGAAGACACCTAAGAACCCATACTGGTGAGAGACCTTATAAATGCATGGAGTGTGGGAAAGGCTTCAAACAGAGTTCAGACCTTGTCACTCATCAAAGAACACATACTGGAGAGAAGCCCTACCAATGCAGTGGATGTGAGAAAAAATTCAGTGACAGTTCAACTCTCATAAAGCATCAGAGAACCCACACGGGTGAGAGACCTTATGAGTGCTCAGAATGTGGGAAGACTTTTGGGCGGAGGCCACACCTTATAATGCACCAAAGAACCCACACAGGAGAGAAGCCCTACACGTGCCTCAAATGTCATAAAAGCTTTAGTCGAAGCTCAAATTTCATCACCCACCAGAGGATCCACACGGGGGTGAAACCTTACAGGTGTAACCATTGCGGGGACAGTTTTAGCCAGAGCTCAGACTTGATTAAGCACCAGCGAACCCACACAGGAGAACGACCTTTTCAATGCCCAGAGTGCAGGAAGGGCTTCAGAGATAGTTCTCATTTTGTAGCTCACATGAGTACTCACTCAGGAGAAAGACCTTTCAGTTGTCCCAGCTGCCACAAAAGTTTCAGTCAGAGTGCACATCTGGTCACTCATCAAAGGACACACACAGGCGAGAGACCTTTCAAGTGCAATGACTGTGGAAAAGGATTTGCTGACAGCTCTGCCCTTATTAAACACCAACGAATCCACACAGGAGAAAGACCCTACAAATGCAGTGAGTGTGGGAAGAGCTTCAGCCAGAGCTCCCACTTCACAACCCATCAACGCATCCATGTAGGAGACAGACCCTATCAGTGTCCCGAGTGTGGCAAGACCTTCAACCAGCATTCCCATTTTCTCACACACCAGAGAACACATACAGGAGAAAAACCTTTTCACTGTAGTAAATGTGACAAGAGTTTCCGGCAGAAAGCACATCTTTTATGCCATCAAAACACCCATTTGGTTTAGGAAATGGTCTTTAGTGGTTCCACTGCTCCCTTTCCAAATTTCCGTTGCTATTGTTCTCTATTACCCCAAATAGAGAAAACCTGAGCATTGGTGGCTTGCTGGGCCCTCATCTGTCCTCTCTTTTCTTTACTATGTTTGTAGTGAACAAGACAACTTCAGGGTCCAAATAATGTTCTAAATACAAAAGACATTCCTTCAGTATGTGTAGCTCACTCTTAGGGAAATAGGAGTTTGATGACTGATGCCTGGATACCAAACAGGAGGTGAGAGAAATGTGGCCAAGAGATTGCACATAAACCGTCTGAATGGTGCTGGTGCAGAGTAGGTGCTCAATATTAATGATTAATAATTTAGGGCTGGCCACTGTGGTAGTGTACCCCTGTAATCCCAGCACTTGAGAACTGGAGGCAGGAAGATCAGGAGTTCTTCATTCTAAGCTACATAGTGGGTTCAAGGCACCCTAGCCTATGTGAGACTCAAAAAAAAACCAAAAACCACACACATATACGTATATATATATGACTTTGAACATGCTAAGCATATATGAGTGTACATATGTATGTGACTTAAATGTGTTCAAGGTTATGGGTTTGATTCCCAGCACTGCAAAAAAAAATTTTTAATTTAAAATTGTGTAGCACAAAACCATGATCTCAACTACTCAGGCGGCTGAAGCATGAGGATCACAAGTTCTAGAACTGCCCAGATAAGTTAATGTGACTGTCTAAAAAACATTTTAAAAACAGCAGAGAGTGGGGCATGATGGCACTAGTGAGAGCTTCACAGTGAGACCCTGTTTCAAAGCAGAAGACATGGGGCTGGAGAGATGGCTCAACCTTTAAAAACACTGCTTTTGCAGAGGACACAGTTTCAGTTCTCAGCACCCACATGGCAGCTAACACCCAACTGTAACTCCAGTTCCAGGGGATCCAGAGCCCTCTTCAGACCTCCATGGGCATTGCATGGATGTGGTGCACTAACATACATGCAGGCAAAATACACATTAAATAAAAAGCACAAGACATAAATAAAGGTGATATAGCTCAGTGATAGAGTACTGATTCAGTTTGTGAGAAGGCCTGTGTTCAATACAAAGTACCATAAAAGGAAAGAAAATACATTAATAGAGTGCCTGACTCTTAGATTCTCAGTATAAGCTTAGTGTTTTTTGTTTGTTTTATTTGTGGGGGGTATGTGTGTATGTGTGTGTGTGTGTGTGTGTGTGTGTGTGTATCAGAGGACAGCCTGTGGAGTTGGTTCTCTCCTTCCCTCTTTATGTGGGTTCTGGGAATTGAACTCAGGCCACCAGGCCTGTGCAGCAAGAGCTTTATTCTGCTGAGGCATCTTGCCAGACTTGTTTTTCCTTGCTTGTTTTTTTTTTTTAAGTTTGATTGTTTTTAACAACCTTGTTACAACTTTTTGAGTTCAGAACTTGCAGGAAACCTCCCCTCGAATTGCTTTTCAGGCATTTACTCACCAGATGTCTCATCGCTGTGACAAAGCAGAATTACCCTAGCGGATGTTTGTGGTTTTCGAAGCTGAATCTCAAGCTGTTGTACAGCCTATGGGGTACAGGGCCTGTGGGGTGTTTACTGTCATGGAAGCATGGAAAACATCCTACAATGAACAAGTCCGAGGGACCCAGAGCAGGACAAGAAAACTGGAAGCAAAATTGCTGAGGTCAGTGGTATTACAAAGCTGCTCTTCATCCTTTAGCAGAAGGAAGCAACCCTAGTTTCTAAAGTTGCTGAGTCATTGTGACTCCTTAGGGTTAAATGAATGCTGCTCTCTGATCCTTTTAGGGCCATTCCTTATGCACTACTGCATTCCTGTACTTAACCAAAATAAATTGAGGGAAGTCAATGTGATGGAAAAGACGCCGGCTTCATTGAGAGGGTAAAGTCCTCGAGTCCTGACCTTCACATTGTTACCTTCTCGGTCCCAAGTTAGATCGACCTACCTCATAAGATTGAATCTAAAGTACACAAGGCCAGTGAAATGGCTCATCCAGTAGAGGCGCCTGCCGCAAGGCCTAAGAAGCCTCAGTTTAATTCCCAGGACCCACATGGTAGAAGGAGAGAACCAACTCCCACCAGTGGTCTTCTGATCCATACATGTGTCTGTGTCATATGCATACCCATAGATATACAATAAATTAAATGTTTAATACACACATTGTTACTAAACTACAACTATAATATTGCTAGCCTTTAATGTGGAACTACTGTTCATAGGCCTTCCCTAATGGTCTTTTTTTCACAAAGTTCTATTTCTCAAGGGTCCCATATTCTTTTATTTTTTAAAGTATTTTATTTATTATTTTTATTTTATGTGTATGAGTGTATTGCCTGCTTGTATGTGAGTGTACCCATGTCATGCAGTGCCATGGAGGTCAGAAGAGAGCTTCTGATTTCCCTGGAACTGGAGTTAAGGATGGTTCGTAGTCGCCATGTGGGTGCTGGGAATCGAACCCAGGTCCTCTACAAGAGCAGTCAGTGCTCTTAACTGCTGAGCCATCTCTCCAGCCCCCCATATTCTTTTATAGTAAGAGTTTTTTTGTTTTGTCTTTTTGCTGGACTTTGTGACACATACCTTTTGTCTCAGCACTCTGGAGACAGAGATAGATTTCTATGAGTTTGAGGCCAGCCTGGTCTACGTAGTGAGTTTCAAGTCAGCCAGGGCTGTATAATGAGAACCTGCCATAAGAAATAAAAAAGCAAAAAGCCTTTTTGGAAAAAAAAAAGATGAAGGTATGAAAATGCTAAACGGGGGCTAGAGAGATGGCTCAGTGGTTAAGAGCACCTGCTACTCTTTAAGAGGTCCTGAGTTCAGTTCAAAGCATCCATGTTGAGTGGCTCACAACCACCTGTAACTACAGCTCCGTGGGATCTGACTTCCTCTTCTGGCTTCTACAGGCACTGCACTCATGTATACATACCCAAACACACACACATGCAATTTAAAATAAAATATTATTTATTTTTTGAGACAGGGTCTCACTATGTAGCCCTCATTGGTCCTGGGATTAAAGACGTACACAATCATGCCCAACAAAATAAATATTTTTTTAAAAGAAAGAAAATGAAAGATGGCATATTACAGATCACGTGGTAAAAGAGACACAGATCTAGTTGGGAGTCACTAGATCAACAAGTCTATAGTCTCCGTCAGAAGCATGGATCAGGCCCACTCTGGAATGTTTAGCATGCCTCTGAGATGCTACACTGTACCCATTAAACACTGGATTTGGAAATGGGGCCTGAAGCCTATGTTGTAAGGGAGCCTTACAGGATGTTGTGCTAGGGTCCCTGAACCTGATGGAATGAGAGTGGAGGGTAAGAGCACAAGCAAGGGACTAAGGAGGAAATAGGCTGGTTATCACTTTTTAGAGAAAAGAATGGCAGAATTTTTTGTTTTCTTTTTTTGGTCTTTGAGACAGGATCTCCCTGTAGCCCCCAACTAGCCTGGAACTCACTATGTAGACCAGGCTGGTCTTGAACTCACAGAGATCCGCCTGCCTCTGCCTCCTGAGTGCTGGGATTAAAGGTGTGTACCATCACACCTGGCCCCTTCAAGTTTTCTTACATCAACACAAACTGGAGTGAGCCTCTGTCTTCCTTTGCTTCTCTGTTGCTGTGATAAAGTATTGACCAAAACCAACTTGGGGAGGAAGGGGTTTATTTTATCTTCTAAGTTACAGTTCATGGTTGAGGAAGTCAGGGCAGGAATTTGGGGACAGGAACTGAAGACCCTGGAGGAACACTGCTTACTGGCTTGCTCTGAGGGTTATAAAGCCTCAGGTTCCATCAATTAGTAATCAAGAAAGTGCTCTTGAATGTGTCCACAGGCCAATCTCATGGTCCCCTCTCCAGCAGCTTCCTCTTTCTCTTCTCTTCCTTATCCCTTTTTTAATCTTTTTTCTTTTTTTTGGTATGTATGTGTGTGCGTGTGTACATGTTCATGTGTGTATGCATTGGAGGGAGGCAGAGGTTGACGTCAAGTAGTATCTTCCTCAATTGTTCTCCACCTTATTTTTTGAGATAGGGTCTCTTACTGAACCTGGCACTCCATGAATCAGCTAGACTGGCTGGCTAGCAAGCCCCAGGGATCCTCCAGTCTCAATGTCCCCAGTGCTGGGATCACAGGTGCATGCTTGCCTTTTTTTTTTTAAACCAAAGTGTTGGGGCTTGAACTCAGGTTCTTGTGCTTTTGAGGCAAGCCCTTTACCCATTGAGATATCATCCAGCATTCCCCCACCCACAATTTTGAAACAGGTCTCATGAACCCAGGCTGCCCTTGAACTCAACTATGTAGCCAAAGATGGCCTTGAACTTCCTGCCTCCACCCAGCTACTGCTGCCTCCTCTGACATTACCTTCCCTCTCCCTCACTCTGCCTCAGTATACATGCGATCTTTGTTCCTTGGTCACAGCAAGGCTATGTGCACCTTATGGCCTCGATACTAACTGTGCTCTCTGCCCAGAATGTTCCCCACCCAGATCTTTGTATAAGCTGTTTGCCAAGCAGGTTTCAGCCTAACCTCACCTCCGTACCAAGATTTTCCTGACAATCCATCTGAAATTGACCTCTTCCCTCACATTACCTCCTTTATGTTTATCCAAGTCTTTATACTCATTGGGCAATTTCTAATTTGTTTTTGGTAAATCCCATAAAAAGAAAAAGCCAGTTATGATTTCCATTCTGTCATAATGGGCACTAAATAAATGCTTGTTGGATGAATGAATGAATGAATGAATACATACATACATACATACATACATACATACATACATACATACCTCTAGTCAAGGAACTCACTGTGCTGGAAAAGCCTCAAGTGACATGAAGCCGGGAAGGTGAATGAGGGTCACACCGGGAAGGTGCTTAGTTGCTAACCAAGGAGTTTGGATATTCCACTCTGAAGAGTGAGATATTGTGCTGACGTGGTCAGCACAGAGGAAGATAGATTCAGCATCTATGTATAGGTCATTACAGAGAGAAAAGTTGGAGGTGTTGAGACAATAGGGCTTAGCACAGGGTCTGGCATATACAAAATCTTCAGTAAGTGGTCATAGCAAACATTGGGGCCAT